TACCACGCATATACCAGGCAACCGAATGTGTAATGCACATGCAAATGCGATACATACAGTCAAAATCGAGAACAAAATATAGGCAAATCCACACAGAGGCACAGCGGCACAGAGGCACATCGACGAGCGCATAGATGAAAAAAATCATCATGAGATTGGAGAGCATCCCAGGTCTTAGTTCGATTTTCAATCAAGCACATAGTTTTTGTTGGTGTTGTTTCGTCACTTTGCCATTTTCTGCATTCATCGCATTTCATGTGTGTATTTTATGCATACTTGAATACAGTTGAACACTTGCCATAGTCGGTATACTCCAGATAAGTTCGCGTTTAGCTCTAGTTTTTTCCTTCCTCACTCTCTAGCGATTATTCCCTCTCGCTCGCCGAACATTCAACAGCTTCGAGCGATATGAAGATATGTTCGACCAAACGAAAACAAGTAAATGGAAATGAACAAATATGGTGTAGTAAAATGCTCTTGCGTTTTCTTTTGCCATTTTAATTTTTTAATTTTTTGCTTTTCACTTGCAGCGTTACATCCATCGAACTGCTGTGGCCAACGAATATTTTGCATATTTCTTGGTTGTTGAAATGATTGTCGCATAACTGTAGCATAGTTTGCAAAAAATGCATCCACTCGGATTTGGTGGTGAGGCAGAGAGGGCAAAAATAGAATGGCAGAACTGAAAATGCACTGTCATATCAAATTTCATCGTTCGCCATCGTCGTCGTCGTCGTTGTTGTTGTTGTTGCTGTTGCTGCTGCTTCTGTTACTGCTATTAACTCAAAACAGTTTGTTACAATCGTAGCAGACATGCAAACTGTGTAAAATGTGAGCGTCAAAATAAGCGTTTAACCCGCAGACAAAAGAAGAACCAAGTAATCATCCGTCTGTATCAGTACAATTTACATTGATTGAAATTTTTTTGTACATTTAAAACTTGGCACATCATTTTCAATGATGAACTAAACCGAATATGAATGAGTGCCTAGCTGAGCCATCCAAAAAAAGAACATTTTCGAGACGAATTAATGAACGCGCATGTACATTGCAATTCCGCTTAAAACGTGTGAAAACAACCAAAAAACAACAACAACCGACAACAAGCAAGCGAAAGAAGCAAAAAAAACAACAGCACACACAGTTATTATTTACGCATATACGATGCCGCAGCGTTTTTCATTTAAACACGATTTGTCATCATTTAAAACATATTGTTTGAGCATATCGCACGAATAGAACTAATAACGATAAGGGAATTACAATTGTTGTCTGTTTTCTCACATCACTGTCATCTGTCACCGCAATCGTTGATCGTTGGTGATATTAGTGTTGCTGTTATTGTTGTTGGTGCCGCAGTTGTTAGTTGCTGTCGCTCAATGCGTTGACTATTGTATGTGTGTGTGTTTATATGTGTGTGTTTTTGCCTCAAATCGATATGTTTATGACTTGTAAATTAAAAAGATATGCAATGGGACAACGAAAACGCAAAAAAAGAACGAAACGCTGAAAATGAATGACAAAACTAATAATATCAAGTAAAACTAATTTTCAGAGCGTAGCATCATCAAAAATACATTGACATGGCATGGCATGACGCACACATTGTTAGTTTCTGATAACATTTAAGTTCACGGTCTCTCAAATCATCGCACTTAAATTCAAACGATCGATAGAGAGAGAGAGAAAGAGAGAGAGAGAGAAAGATATATATAGAGGCAAACTGAAGACAATAGCAAAATGAAAATATGTGAATTGCTAAAAGTAAACACATTCGATCAATTTGCAAGCACAATGTGATGAGTATGTTTTCATCATGAATAGCAATAATTTATGGCGATCATGTAAATGTTTCGCAAACTAAATGGCTTTTCAATTTGTAAATACCCATAAAGATGAGTGATTAAAATCTTGCGGCTATGGAAATGGAATCAGGATCCGAATATATATGTTCAAACAATTGAAGAACAAAAACGTTGGAATATATTTATTTTTACACAACAACAACAACAACAAATTCTGTCATGTAAATTGAGTGCGAAAATACAATCAACACACAATGTCATTTGCTTTAACGACACTTTTCATAATGTTGTTTCTGAGTACACGTGTCACCGTTTTCACTCATTTACAGTTACCCATCAATTGTGGCCCATCAACAACAGAGACAAAAAAAAAGAGTGAAATAACCGTAATAATAACTTTAATTCGCAGAACTAACAGAACAAAAGAGTTTGTACGAGAAAAAAAACTTAATTTCCGCAAATGTGTATTTGATTAGCGCTCGTGTAAAACGCGTTCGCGCACCAGTAAGTGTACACACGGTCGAGAGAAGAGAAAAAAAAACGTAATTATCATTTATAAATCAACATTGACAATAAATATTTCTGAAGTAAATGAGATTGTTTTTTTTTATGCGAAGAGCAAAAAATCTTAGATGAAGCGAAGCAAAACAACAGCAGCAACAAAAACAAAAACTAAGATAAACAAAGAACTTGTTCATGGGCACGTCGCTCGTCCAAGCTAAACAATTAGGCATGTAATTTTACAATTTCATACGGAAAAAATGGGTTTCTATTTTTAATTGTTTAGCGCTTGTTCCTTCCATTCACTATTTTTGTTGAAAGCGTGGCTTCATAGAGATGTCGAAAACATGATACACAGCAATACAGCATCGCCACACAGAGTGCGATCGACGGATGTCAGTATCGATATCGACCTTTGGCAGTAAAGAAATTAATGGGTGTCAAAAATTGTTCGTTTTGTCGTTCGACGCAAACCGACGCTTAATACAATACTGCAAAAGTGTGCGAATGCGAGTGGCAGCAATGGATGTTAATATGATCTGTAATGTAATACACATCGTCTATCGATAGACACGCAATTACCTGTATAAATACATACTCATCGTGTATATACCGTACGACAGACATTGCATATGGAATTACTTAATACCCATTTTAATCTAACTGTCATCTGGTGGTTTCGTTCATTCAATTTTTCACATTTGGATGTGCTTGGTGTGCCAGCCATTGATCCACCTGATTGATGAAAGCGATTTCATAGATTTCATAAACCATTTGAAGCAACGTCACAAATAAATGTCACACGAAAGTTTCGGTAATAAAATTACATTGCGACTACGTGAAAATAGACACATGTACGCCAACACACAACCAGAAGAGCTAAGAGGAAATTTTGAAGGCGGCGCTACGTCGGGATTTTTTAGTTTCGTTCGACAAGGTCTTTGAGTGGTAGAACAGAAGAAAAAAAAACAATGTTACAAAAGGGGCCGATTCAGCCCAGATTCAACTCCATTGCATTCATTCAGTGAATTGCTTTTGAAATCTTTTTGTGATTTTCAAGCTTTTTAAACTTTGACAATTTTCACTTTGGGTAATTTTCGCTTTCTGTTTCACTCATTTTGCCAAGAGTTTTTAAAGGTCGAAAATGGCATGAAAAATCACGATTGCACACACACACACGACATGCTACAATTGAAGAATGTACAAAATACATCGAAAGTTTTCTATGCACACTCCGTACAAACTCCGGTTTTACAGTTGTGAATATCTGAATCGTAAAAGGCAATGTTATTATTTGTGTGTGAACGCGTGCGACAAAGTGAGATGTTGAAGACTGAGTTCCTCGCATTTTACCGCACGAAAAGAGTGAAAATGAAAAAGAACTTGAAATACCGAAACAATAATAACGACAGATATGTGCTAAAACATTCGTTGCTATACAAACAATTCGAGTATCAAGTGTATTTTACGAAAGACAGAAGAAGAAAAAAAGAATGTATGGAAACGACTATCAGCACTTCTGTAAATGTGTCAGCGAAAAACGATGAATCATGAGACCAAAAATAAATAAAGCGCTTATTTTCTTCAGTAACTTTTTCAAACGAAAAATTGTCTTAAACATTTACAGTGTCTGCTACGATGTATTCTAAGTCGTGGTGCCAAGCGGTTCGTCATGTCGTGTGTAGCACAGCACGCCACATAGAAGGATTGCCTCACCTTTGCTTGCAGTAAGGATGGGGAAAAAAACACATACAAATGAAATGTGCGTATACACGCATTTCACTCCATGAATTCAATTTCACCATTCACATTTACACGCCAACCGCAGTCAGTCTCGCACATCGCAGAAAAATTATTTATATGACAGATGAAAATAAAAGCTGACATTCTTTTCGCCGAGATATGTATGGATGCATGTTTACCTTGTTCGTTCACCCTCAATAAACTGTAATTTATCAAATACCATGTCAGATAAAAACGATGAAAATTTTCTATTTTCACAAGTGCAGCAGCGCAATTTCGTATCTGGCGTGCCATTAAACTCGCCCTCCAATTTGATGTTGGCGTTGCACCGACGCCAAATCGAAATGCAACAACAGCATTGAATGCCACCAATCATGGACGCATAAATTGCTGACAATGTTGCGATCTTTGAAGCTGCAGCACACAATATACATAAATGCAGTTAGATGAGTGTTCGCATTGATTAAGTATGTACTTAATGGAATTTTTGGTTGTTAGAAAAAAGAAGCGATTCAAGTGTTCAAACATGAAAAAAAATGCGCCGCTTCGCAGCTCGACACTCGCGCTCTGTTCAATGATCGCCCATTTTAAATTTGGCACTATGTTGTTACGGTACATGATGTTCGAGGCGCTTTGCCGCGTAATTGAAACTCGACTAATGTTCAATTGGCCGAAGCAAAGCGACATCCGAAGCACTTGAACATTTTTGCAATCGCAGTCAAGGATAGAATGAAAAAGAGAAACAGAGAAACAGAGAGACAAACACGCACACAGAAATAGAATGAAAAAAAAATGAATGGCTAAAATCATAGTCTCATTGCTTTTGAAATGCAATTGAATCACGTTTAAAATGACATAATATCTCATCCTGTTGCGAATGCACTCTTGTTTTCTATTGTCACATTTAATAACGTCGCTTAAAAACTAGAATAAGAGAAAACGATTCATTACCTTCTTTCATGCGATTTGCATCTGGAACATAGCTCTTTTGTTCGTGCAACTAACAAAATGTAACAAACGACACAATATTACACGTTTGATTTTTATTGCTTTTATTGATGATTGAGTGCGCCAATTTTTATTTTGTTTGTTTGTTTACTTTTGACTTTTCTTTCTTTTTTCGCTTTAGACTTGTTTTTTTTTGCTCTCTTTTGTTTACGACAAAGAACAATTTCTTTTTATTCTTCACTAATATTTTTGTTGTTGCCACTAATGTTTTTGTTGTTTTAAACTTATGTTTATACTTTGATAATAAACACATATGAATTGTACATTTTTAAATAATCCACGCTATGCATTTCTGTGTCAAAATTATGATTGTTATTTTTTTTTTTTGATTTTTTTTCCCGTTGTAATTCGATCGATTCGTTGATTTTGTTGTTGTTATTGTTACATTACGGCTTGACATATAGCGTCACAAAACGGTTTTATTCGATTTATTCTTGCTTCTACGTATTGGTTGAGATCAATTGAAAGAAAAGCAGATTGCGATTAATTCCAATGTTCGGGGGATGAAGAGCAATGGAATTCCGTACGAATGCATTGTGTGGAATATGGGATGTGGAAACCAATTTTATTGGGATCAAATCATGAATACAAAAGCAACAATTATACCATGGCATTCGAAAAAAATTTCTCTCGTTAAAACAACCCCAACTCATACCTCTATTCTCTCTCTTTCACGTGGTAGCGACAATCAGCAGTGCATTTTTCTAATCTTTAATTCACTGAAATCGAAACGATTATTATGGAAATGAATCGAAATGCGTGCTTTGCGTCAATTTTATAATTGTTGGCATTTCATTTGGTGTTTGTTTTTTCGATTGAACTTCAAAGTTCAATGAGTACGAAACCATCATTGTGATTGAGCTTATGGCCTCACAACGATGTTAGTTTCGTGAATTTCAACAATGGCTTTGTGTAGTAGGTGATTTTCAATTCCGTTTTCAGTGAGTGGGAAGCGATATATGACCCGCGTGTGAAATGGACATAAAAAAAGAGTCGAGAACCAAAATCGAATATTTCCAGTTATTTTTTGCCTGTTTTTTTTTCGGTACGTGATTCACATCACGAAAATGAACCACATATGCATTCAAAATAGTTCTGCTTCATTCATACACGAAGACTGCGAAAATCGAAAACAGTAGAGAACAGATGAACGAGCGAGGTAGATTGAAGATAGAGTGAGAAAGAGGGCGCGAGAAGAAAAAAATCCAGACTCAAAACAACAAGGAAACGTTAAAACAAAGTTATAGAAACACTTGCATTTATTTCACAGTTCCATATTATTTTTTTTTTACTTGTATTGTTTTTAGAAGGGAATTTTCGCTGTTATTATTTGTGACAAACGATCGATTTGTCTGTTTTATTTTCGCTTAGTTCTTACTTGCTTCCCCTTCGATTTTAGATATTTATTGTCGACCGCACACTGCACACAATAAATGAATAGTTTGGTTCTGTTTTGTTTGGTTGGAATTAAATTTAATGTGTTCGTATATATTCAAAATTTCCTTTGTCGACATTGATCGGTACACCGTTCAATTATTGTGGTCTTGAAACTATTTCACATGGAAAAGTGAATGTCACCAAAATGTCATTAAAATTAAATTAACCAATGCAGAAAAAAACAGAAGATTGAAGTGTTTCCAATTTGAAAACAGAAAAAAAAACGAAATCTCGAGTCGAGTATGGAATAGAGAGAAGTTGTTTTTTGTTGGTATGTTGTCGAAACCACGATTTTTCTCTAACCTGCGTGATAAAAAATACACACACACACACACTCACACAGCGTGAATTTCAGTTTGAAAACTCATTTATAGGTGGTAAAATCGAATAGCGGATATATAATTTTGAGTTCGATGCCAATTCCGATTCGTAGACCGAATCGGGTGGTTGGTGCTTTTGTTGATTTTGAATTTGCGTGGCAAACCGTTTTGTGTATGGCAGGCACGGTACAAGTCGTACAACGGCACTCTAGATATTCACACAGTATAAATATGTGTTGTGAGCAGCACTGTGAGAACGAATTACCCGAGAACGTAAGCGCACGAACAACAGAAAACAGCCCAAACGCAACGAATATCAATTCCTAACTGAGGAAACGTTGAAGGTTTATTGAATAGTCAAACCTATGAATGTTATCACTCTCTGTGTGTGTCGGAGTCGAAGTCCGTTGCTGATTCTCCCGCGTTTGTTGTGCACGGGCCAACGTTGTGTGTATATTCGATTTCAGCTTGTGACACGTTTAATAGTGCGCGAGAATGTTGCGCCGAACCGACAGAACATGCAACACGGAGAGCATCAATACCGTTGGTTGGCTGCTTTTGCTTTCGTAAACTGTGAGAATTGGCAATCGAGCGCACAGCCACACACAGCTCTCTCGTGGCTCACATGCACTTTACACTGGCTGTACTGATGATTCACTTTGTATTCGCTGTATGCGGTACGATGTGTACTGTACACGATGTGTGCACACAAGTGATTCAGGTTTCGCTTCGCATGTCAAGCTATACGAATGAAAACGGCTTGTGGTCTGCTGTCTATAAGTGTCACACGCGCGTTTTTAGTTGTAAAATCATGTTGCATTAGCGATGTCATGCGTTATATCTCTTATCTCTTTTTTAACAGTCATATCTCAATTTAAAAAAAAAACATTTGATTTCAATCATTAGTTGTCCATGATCAATGAATAATGGATATGGCCTATTTCAATAAAAAATTAGAATAGAATTTTTTTTTATTATCTGAACGTTTTCGTGTTGTTGCGATGGACCCATAGTTTCTCTGTATTCACTCTATGCAACATGGATATGTCTTTTTTTACCATTCCATATAATTAAATATTTCACGTGAGTCCGTGTGTTCAAATATTTTATTCGGACGAACTAATAAAGCTTTATCCGTTGACATCATAAAAACATCTATGCTCCTGCGATAATATCGTTTACAATATAAACTATAATCGATTTATCATTAGACGGTCGGAAAACAGAAGAAATGATAATTCGTCTTTTTTCATGAATTTTGTCAGTTGTGTTTCTGCTCTTCTTTCAACGATGTGTTCGCTAGGAGATTTTTTACACTGTTGACACTGGTTATACAAAATTTACGGTACTCCAGCGTTATGAAAATCTGAGACCAATTGGTAAAGCCTCCCAGGGTTTAATTTGATGAGTTATTCATTTTTTTTTCATTTATTTCATTCCAGTGCTGCATATGACGATGTAATAGGAAAAGATGTGGCAATAATAAAACTAATTAATCCTTTTAAAGAGGATTTGTCTGCCAAACGATCCTACCGAGAGTTAAAATTAATGAAATTGGTTGATCACGTAAATGTAAGTACATTTGGTATTAGAATAAGAAGAAAATTCTCGCGGTTCTATTAATTTAATTACTAGAACGCTCACTGCAAGAGTTCCAAGACGTATATCTTGTGATGGATTTTATGGATTCAACACAATGTCATACAAAACACACAATAAGATCATGGGCAACTATCATATTTACTCAACCAAATGCTCTGTGGCATCAAACATTTGCACTCAGCTGATATCATACACAGAATACGCTTTCAATTGTAAATCAATTGACTTTATGAAAACCAAATTTTTCTGACAAATCTGTTTGAGGACTTGAAATTATTGCAGTCAAAGTGGATTGCTCACTAAAAATATTAGATTTCGGACTGGCTCGGGCAATTAATTCAACAGGAATGATGTCACCATACGTGTTGTTATCGGGCGCCTGAAGTGATCATGGGCATGGGATATACTGAATAGGTGGATATTTCGTCGATTGAATGTACTATTATGACATAAATGATTTCGAAAAAGACTCTTTTTAAAGGCATAAATGAGATGGATCAATCGAACCAAATTATTGGTAAAATTAGTTTAAATCGCCGCTGTCATTCGAATAGACACTCACATATCTTTCTTTGGTTGATTTTGAAGTTGCGTGGCAAACCATTTTGTGTATGGCAGGCATGGTACAACTCGTATAACGGCACTGAAGATATTAACACAGCACAAATGAACCGTTGCGACAAACAAATTCCCTCAGAATGTTTTAGTTTCAAAGTGCAACATGAATTTTTTTTTATATAGAGTTTACAACAACAACTCCATATGAAAAAAACTTTATGTTGCACTTTAAAACTAAAATATTCTGAGGAAATTTGTCTGTCGCAATTATCCTATAACGTAAGCGCATGAACAACAGAGACGGTCAAAACTAAACGAATATCAATTCCTAACAGTGGAAATGTTGAAGGTTTCATTCATAAGAATAAAATAAATACTAAATAAATCTATGAATGTTATCACTCTCTGTGTGCTTTTGTTTTCGTAAAATTGGCAATCTAGCGCACAGACACATACAGCTTTCTCACATGCACTTTACACTACAACCAGAATCTGACGATTCACTTTGTTCGCTGTATGCGGTACGATGTGTACTTTACACGGTGTATGTACACAAGTGATTGAGGTTTTGCTTCGCGTGTCAAGCTGTACGAATAAAAACGGCTCGTGGTCTGCTGCTGCTGCTGCTGCTTTTCAACCGTCGATAAGTGTCACACGCGCGTTTTTAGCTGTAAAATCATGTTGCATTAGCGATGTCATGCGTTACATCGAATAAATACGGTTCGTGTAGTCCGTGCATCAAGGTGTGCTATGGTATGCAAAACAATTCACTCACCAATCTGAAACACGGTAAATGCCTTGCTTATGATCACAACATAAACCAATTACACATGTTACTTGATATTCATTCGTGTGCCCGTATTGTTTGTTATCATATATCATTCAATCACCAGTCTGGTGGTGGTTCTCTATCTATTCAGCCTTTATCTTTATCGCTGTCGCTTGTTGAGATTCTGATGTTGATGCTGAATATTGGTTGAACCAGCAAGCAAAAACAATATGATTTGTAACATTCACCATACGCTTGGGGAGGTCTCCAGCTGAGTGAAAACTCGTAATATACGGCTACAAACATATATTGAAAATTGGTCGGTTTGAGTTGACAGTGCCTCAGTGTGCCTGGTGCACACCATAATGATGGCATCAATTATAGGAACTATAAACGCACTGAGACCACATATGCCATGCATTTTGGTTGCGCCATCGTTCATTTGGATGCAATAAGCTTTTTTGCTCACACGTTCTTTGTACGAAGCTCTTATTGTCATCTTTACGTTTGTTTGGATAGCACTGTGCTGATGGCGGTTCAAAATGCAAATGAGCGTACAAATTCAAAGGAATATATTACATTATTGCTCTAATTCGCGAGAATTCCTCGTGCTGTTGAGAATCAAATGCAGTCGTTTCAGGTTGTTTTCATTCCTTTTGACGACAGAAAAAAAAACAGCAAAGATAGGAACTGTGCCCATGCTCATTTCCATTTTGCCTTTGTTGCAGATCGTGTGTGTTTGTATGTGCGCGCGAGCGCATCTGCCACATGATTTATGAACACAGAATTTAGATGATAAATGTAGACCATCTGTTTCTCGTTCCTATTTTTTTTTGGGGGGGGGGGCTTCAATTTGAATTCATATACCAATCTTAAATGATATAGCTGAATTGTTTATTTCGAATCGGTATGAGTTCGAAATTGGCCACAAGTCATTCCGTTCCAACTCAGCCACTGGTATGGTAATTTGGCATTTGGCATGATTGTAACTCTATTTTTGGCTATGGCATACGCATATAAAATGATTTTCTATGTGGCCCGTTCGTCAGCAATGCCACAAACGAAAGTTATGCAGACGAGGCAATGCATAAATGACTGCATATCTTCACATTGTAAAAGAGGGAAAAACCCTTATTAACTATATGGACAAATTTGCATATATTTTTTGTTCGTCTTTGCCTTTTGTGTTTTATTGTAGAATTTCCTTTCCCGCTGGTTTCTTTGATGGAAATGGACGAAAATGGGGCAACTACAGCAAATGGATTCTTCAAGTCAAGTATTTGAAAATGACGCTCAATATTCTACCTTGGTGGAAACTAGTTAGTTTTCCGTCTGCCATCCTACTACTTACGTGAGCAGTTCTTTTGGTTGATTGTTTTCTTGTGTTATTTATCACCTCAATTATATGTTTACACAATTTACAAGTAACAAGCGAACCGAACGAGAGAGAGGGAGAGAAAGAAAGAAAACATGGTTACATATGTATATGGGTTGAGTTGCTACTCTTCGTCCGATCATTGTAATCATTTTGTTGCAAAGAAAATCGCCTCGACCGATCCGAAAATTGCAGACACTTAAAATCACATACACGAACGTTGCACCGAACGTGAAACGCTCTGAATTTGAGAAAACCATATTTCCTGTACGCTAGAATACATATGTAATCGATGGGTTTTCATTCGGTCTTTCTTACATTGCTTCTCACTTCGGTTTTTCAGTTTGGGTTTTTATTGGTGTTGATTGTGTTCAGAATATAAAAAAAAATAAAACGAAAAACTATTCCTCTAAAACATGGAATCGGCAAGAAATACGTACGTGTTCTGCAGTTCAGGCACACAACGGTCGTTAGATGATGAAAAAAAAAAGAAAATAAAAGAAGGAGACTACACAGTCAGATGCTTGAATTGACCGATTATATGTATGCTTTTTTTCCCTATGCTCCTCTTTTCTATCTCGTGGTAGCACACTATTTATTTACCTCATGTGCTGGAAATATAAGAATGCGCCGCTGTATGTTTTCATTTACGGCGATCTGACAATGGTAGTAATGATATCAGTAACTGATAGTCGAATACAGATAAAAATGGGAGAAGATTGCATTTTCGACTTCAAATGAACGACTGTTCTAGGGATAGACACGCCGATCTCAGTGGCAATGGCAATCCACACCATAAGATCCACCATAGATATGCTGAAGCACCGATTATATTCGTTTTTGACCAGGATTCAAACGTGTAACCCAAACTTCATTCACACCCACACTGTCACGTAGCAAAGCTCGGTTCAGCAGTGGACCGAGAATGCTTTTTGAGTTCATTACCAAATAAAGCAAACACAAATGAATACAATGTTGCGTGTGCGTATTTGTGTGTGTGCGAGTGTGAATGTAAGCGC